TAGGAAAGCAGTTGTCTAATGTATCATTTCACAACAATGACTTATTTGTTTTTGTTTCGCTGCAATTTCTCGCGCCCAGCGAGCAGCGAGCGACGCGCAATATCATTTCACAATGACTTATTTATTTTTGTTTCGCTGCAATTTCTCGCGTCCAACGACCTGCGCACCAGGCGCAATATTCTCGCACTGGTGCTATGGCTAGACTCTAGTGTCCAAGAGCCGGCTGCATATTTCGACCGACATATGATAACGAAATGACATACAGTGCGCGCATTATAAGTGTTACACCACCTATATAACTCATCACGGGACTCTAGGAAAATCGCCGAGACCGTCGATTTTTGATTTCTACAGTGTACATTTTCGTAGGAATAATTCACTCCTAATTTCATCCCTTACTGGAGGAGAGCAACCCTGTCAAAAAATTTAAATAGCTCATTTGAAACTGGGGTTTATTCTCTATTCAACCGTGCAAAGAAATTGAAATTCAATTTTTTCGACAGGGTTGCTCCCCTCCACAAAGGGATGCAATTAGGAGTGAACTATTCCTACAAAAATGTACACTGTTGAAATCAAAAATCGACGGGTCTCGGCGATTTTACTAACAAGAGTTCCGTAACGAGTATGTCCTAAAGGCATTGTAGTTTATCGAACGGCACCTGTGCCAATCCCTATCTTGAGCAGAATGATTGAAAAATTGCACTTTCCTGTGCGGAAATTTGCAGTTGGTTTCGCGATTTGATAACGAGAAAAGAATTATGCCATCCGATACCAATTGAATAGTAGATTTCAAAAACCTATCTGTGCCATCTCAGTCTGAGCCAAATCCACGGCACAGCGATTTATTTGCTGCTATTATTCCGGACATACTTCCGTCATGTGATAACGAGTAGAAACAAGGAGCAAGTAAAAGGGGATTTTTTTTTGTTCTGGTTCCCACGAAAGGGGATATCCTGTAATGTTCAGAGAACATCGTGAGAACCAAGGGAAATAAGGTAGGAATTGGTGTTCTTCTTAAATTTCTGGAGGTTATATGTCGCATTGGAGAATATCCAAACGTGTCACGAATCAAACTGATCTAAGTTAGTGGCAGAGCGTCAATATGCGAATTAGAATACTTGTAGTGTGAGCACCACCTGATTTTCACACTGGTCCATCGGATATTATCTTTAGAGTTGGTCAAAATATTCTCGGAAGTATTGACGCACTGCCACTAACTTAGATCACTTTCAATCGCGACACATTTGGATACTCGCAAAGGCGACATCATTTCCTTTTATTTGCTTCTTGTTTCAACTCGTTAGCACATAACGGAAGTATTGTCACGATAGGAACCAAAAATATTCATAGCTACTATTCAAAATTATATTGATTCAAGATTCAATAATAAAAGTTCATTATTAATTTTATCGTATAACATTAGATTAAAGGACACGAGTATAATGTTTCACTCACGTTGGCAGCTCATTCAACCGGAATGAAATACCCGCAAAAACGCTGACTATATCAAAATATTCTAAATAAATATCGAACAGCCGATAAGGCAAGGGATCAGTTTAGATCTGATCAGCTAGCCTTCACTATGGTTCATCCCCTGCATCTGCTACAGATTATTTTGTAAGTACTACTGTCACAATCGTTATGTTGTCAAACTATTAAATGTTTCTTTTCATTGCGAAGTCTGATGTATTTACGTTTGCATTGAATCTCGTTTGTTAAAATCACTAATGAAACTAATTTCTTTCAATAAACTGTAGCTTTATAACGAACAAACTGTTTTGATTTCTCGGCCTCCCAAGCGAGTTCACCCCCGAGTCACCACCCTGTAGCCATGGGTCGTGACAGTATGTCGGGAATAATAGCAGCAATGAATCGCTGAGCCGTGGATTTGGCTCAGACTGAGGGGGCACAGGTAGGTTCTTGAGATCTACAATTCAATTGGCATCGGATGGCATAATTCTTATCTCGTTATCAAATCGCGAATTCGAGTGCAAACTTTCGCACTGGAAATTGCAATTTTTTATCATTCTGCTCAGGATAGTGATTGGCAAAGGTGCCGTTCGATGAACTACAATGTTTTTACCATTCGGACATATATCATTTCGTTATCAGATGACGGTAGGAATCTGCAGTTGGCTCTCCTACTATAAATAAACCAGCCATTTGGGTTTCACCCGTTTATTATATTTTGGAAACGGTTCGTGATATTTTCGATTTGATAACATCGTTTCATTGTTCACTGAAATTGGAAACTCTCAATAGAGGATAGAGGTACGACATGAAAAATATGGTACTTGGACTTTGGAAGTTCGTAAAATTTCGCCACTCGACTTTATCATTATACTAACCGATGATGTGAAATTCTGGCATATACAGGGTGTCCCTAAAAGTTCTTTTCAAAATCTCAGCACATCTTCCTGAGGTCAAAATAAGGCGATTGAAATCAGTTTACCTCAGTCCGAAATGATGATCGACAAGTACACTCCAGAAAATTATTTTGAAAAATCCATCTTTGCACTGCTTATTCACTGACCAAATTACATCCACGAAGATGACGGCAAACATTTTTTATCATAATAATTTAAATATTCCGGTGTGGCATCGAACACTAAAAACCGAAATATCTCGAAAACTGCTTACTTTATTGAATCGGCTTATTTCGACCTCTGCTAAGATATAGTACACACTTTTCCGGGAGACCCTGTATAGTTATTCACTTTATTGAACTCACCCTCATCGCCACTGGATTATCAGAATAATCGACAGGTTGACACCTGAAACTGTAATGGTTCATCCAACCAGCTACACAACTCTGAAAACAGTGAATCATTGAAATATTTGTAGGGCTGCATCCTACAATTATTATTGTAATTCAATTGATGTAGGTACCTACCTACCTAAGTAATTCAGAATGCGATAATGGGAAATAATTCTTATAGGGATTACTATGCAGTGCTTTTGTAAAGTACGGATCAAATTAATTTTTAGCCATGAACCCATTTTTGGGGAATTTAAATTTGCCACATTTATACGGAAAAATTGAATATAAGTACAGTGTAATTCATGTAGTTGGCATCATATGGAAAAAACTTTTAATAACATGTCAAACGTTACAGTTTTTCACATCAATCGCTAAAAATAGGCTCATATCTTCGAATTTCAAAAGAAAAATGTGTTTCTATTTCAATTTTATAGATGTGTCTCGAATTTGAACATTCAGTTATTGATATTTTTCCAATTTCTACGGAATGTCTGTGATATTAAAAATCATTAACACCAACAAAACCTTTTCTTTTTAGTAGCTTCATCATGCTTAACTATCGACAAATTTACGATTTTCATCAGAAAGTCAATGAGTGGAATCAATTACAACATGTGCCACATTTAGACAGAAGTATATTCTTGACTGTTCTGCCCTCGGGTAACTCCCGGCACAAATGAAAACAGAATTATATTTGGTTCAACAAACTGGAGAACACTGTCATTCGAAATTTTCTTCAAACTCATACAGGTGTCCATTAATTGAGTGCCGATAATACAATGTGTGAATCCAAGGGTGATTTCAATTAGGAAAAATCATATCAACATATGTCCTAAACCTCTTAGTTTTTGAGCTACAGGGTGTTAAAATCAGAGGCGTACAATTTTTTTTAATCAAAACATTCTATATATGAGGCCTTCGTGAACATCACTGGTAAAAGTAAAGAATTGATTTTCGTCACAAAACAGAATGTGTTTCCACTCATAGTAGATGCCTACAAAATTTTAACAAAATAACAAGAACAATCTCAATGAGCTGAAGGAAAAACAGCTTTTGGTTTTTATTTTTCAGGAAAACGGTACGTCGTATAAAAGTAATTCTGGACACCAAACTGCCTCAACAATGAATGGGGATTTCAAAAATAATTTTGGTTTTCAGAAAAATCAGTGGTGTTCCATTTTTTCCTTGAAACTCTCACGTCAAAAAATGCTCCTCAATGATGAAAAGGTGCACATGTACGAAATTTCATAAAGATATCTGAGAGTGATTGAAAATTGTGATAGAAACCTAACTTTTTTCTCAAAACTTCAACACCTTGTAGTTGAGAAACTAAGAGGATTAAGATATATGTTGATATGAGTTTTTCTTCTCAAAATCACCCGAGGATTCGTATTTTCGGCACTCAATTACTTAACACCCTGTATAGTCCGAGAAACATCAGAAAATGTCATAAAAATATCTGACAGTGATTGGAAATTATGATAGAAATCTAACTTTTTTCTCAAAACTTCAACACCTTGTGGTTGAGAAACTAAGAGGATTAAGATATATGTTGATAAGAACTTTTCTTCTTAAAATCACCCGAGGATTTCTATTATCGGCACTCAATTAATTAACACCATGCATAGTTCAAGAAACATCTAAAAATTACGCACTATAAAAGGACACACAGTATGTCGCTGTGGCAAAGGATTCTGATGGTAAATCTGACTGAGCTATTTCTATCAGTGCCATGTTCATTCTTTCAGCCACTCCATTTTGCTGGAAATCCAAGTCAACTCCGATGACGATCTATTTTCTACATTCACCCAAGTGACCCGAAAACACCGACGCCCTGTGAGAGACTTTCCACATGAACATAATTATATATCTTTGATTCTAACTAACTGGTTTTTCTAATGATCAAACAGAGCAGCTATTTTTGCGAAGTGAAGAAAACTCAGGAGAAACTTTTATTTGAAATATATTCAAAAGGAGCGCATGAAAGAAATTCCCTATTATGGATATCATAACATAGTTTATAAGTTTAACGCAACGACTCTCATAAAATTTTTATTCTTCAATAATCTGCCTATTATAGTAAAATTGGAAAAGCTATAAACATAATAGCTATTGAAACATACTGAATACTTATATGTTTTTAATTGCGATAGGCTTGGCTTCTAGGAGAATTGAACACCTGTAAGTTTCTAAGAAAAGTTCTGATGGAATTTAAGTTCAGAAATAATTTTTGACTCACCTCATAAAATAACCAGGAGCTGAATAACACTTGGAATAAATTATATACTATTAACACATTCTTCAGTTCAAAGGGCTTCCTATTTTCCATTAATGTTGGTCCTATTACTTTGACGATGTATACATAAGTAAGGCAGATACTGAGTGTGTAGAAAGGAGAACTCATAAGGAACCAGTCATTTACTCTCTGATCTGGAAAAAATGAAAATAGAAATAGTATAGCCATTTTTGTTTCAATTTATTCAATTCAATCATGTTGATTTCATATCCGATAGTCAAAGCCAGTTGATTTATTTAATAACAGCTCTCCATGATTTGTACAGGGTGGGCCATATTGAGCACTTTTAAAGGGAAAATCCTATTCCTGTACTATACATATACAGTGTGTCCCACTCACCATGCTCACCATGGGTATCATTTTAACGGTGAGAGATACGATGTCGGTTAGATGACACCAAATGTGGAGTTTGTCAAGGCCAACTATAATGTGAAAAAATATTTTGATAAAATCAATTCGTTTTTGTTTCAAACGCAAAAATCACACCTGCCAAATTTCAAGCTAATCGGAGTTATGGAATTTTTGTTGAAATTAAAAAAAATGCTGCTCCAAGATGGCGGACAAGATTTGGCCCGATTCCATTCAAAATTGGTAAGTGGGGGTTTTTGAGGTCGGAGATCATGATACTTTTTGTTAAAATTTATAAATTAATGATGGCGGCTTTCAAATAATTTCTTGTTTTCGTATAAATGACGATAACTCCGTTGTTATCAACACAAAACTATTACTGCGACATACCATCTGTGAGAGAAAAAAAAGTTATTTGTAACTAAGTCACATTTGAAAAACTCAAGTTGGTGCTGATAACTCAAATCCTAGAAGAGTTGGTATGAATTCCATATTTTTTCCGAAATCACTTCGAAAAACTGCCATGAGAATGTGGAATTCCTATTTGAATATTTTCATACATAAAGAAGTTACGGAGGAGACATGAAAATGATCAAAATCTGTTTTTTGCGTATAAAACAAAAACGAATTGATTTTATCAAAATATTTTTTCACATTATAGTTGGCCTTGACAAACTCCACATTTGGTGTCATTTAACCGACTTCGTATCTCTCACCGTTAAAAAGATACCCATGGTGAGCATGGTAAGTGGGACACACTGTATATAAAAAAAATGATTTTGGTGCCTGTTGATCAATTCACATAACAAACTCAATGGTGAAAACTGCATATCGATATCTATCTTCGTTTCAGAGTTACGAGGTGTGTTTCGAAAATATGAATTTTCAAAAAGTAGCTGAAACTCATTTTTTTGTCAAAAATTCTTCGTTTCCATAAGAACATTTCCAAAACATTGTGTTTGTCATGAAAATTAATCCTCAGGCACTGAAATCAGTCACCATATACCTAGTTTCAAAATCGAACTTTTACTTCAAGAAGAACAAGTTATTCTTGTAAAAAAAATATTTGTTGCCACTTTTCAAAAATACTCATTTTCGAGGAACACCTTGTAACTCCGAAACGAAGAGAGACAGAATCGACCCTCAGGTACCGACATCAGTTTTCTTCTATCAAGTTGGAGAATAGGATTTTCCCTTTAAAAGTGAATAATGTGGCCCACCCTGTACAATCACCTATCTCATATAATATATAAATCCTGTATTTTACATACCGGGTATCCCAGGAGCAAGGTAAACCACGGTATCAAATAAACAGAACAAAATCCATCTGGCGAATTGTATGAGTCATTTGACAAAGGATACTTTTATACTCCATTTCCGAGTAAATCGGGAGTGATGCCAATACTTTTGTGTTTCAAATGACACCCTGTGTATTTTCGGCGTGGAAAAAGAGGGTTCACATAACAAATTTTACTGCATATCTTTCTCCTGATGAGTTTTCATCGATAATTCTTGAAATTTTCGAAAGAGCAACTCAAATTATACGAACTCAAAAAAAATATACATGATGTGGATTCAGGAGGTTATTCCTTATTGTCATATTTTAGGAAAAGAAGTTCGTGTAACTTGCTCCAAAATATTAGTCACATTTAGATCTAGAATTGTTTTAGAATCCCAAATATGTTACAATATACAATGTGTTCTATTCAAAAATTCAAAACCGAAGCCATTTTCGGTGAAACCGGAAGTGACTGGAAAGTGAAAAATATTTCCATTTCATTTCATTCATTATGGAAACATATCGAATCGTCTGCCAAGAAACGTGTTCCACAAGTTGGGAAGATTCAACACAGATACATGCAAGGAAAGAGAAATTGGATATTTTTCAGAAGTTGAAAAAAAAAATTGAGACAGGATTGGAAAATGAAGTAGATCAATCAAATTCCACAAGCTAAGGAAATCAACTGAAGAACTTGTAGAGAAAAAATCTCGAAAATATTCTAAGACAGGGACATATAGGGGAAACTGGGTGAACATTCAAATCGTCATATCAAGCGAACGAATAATGCGGATTTACTTCAGTCTGTTCTGTTCTGTTATAATCATAAGGTTCATTCATGTTCGAACTATTACGGTTCTAGAACTGTCCGGAGTTTTCGCAGTAAAATCGGTCTAATCCGTTCTAGAATCGTTTCCAGAATCGTCCTAGGACGGTCCTAGAACTATCCGAAACCAGTACCTCCTCTCATGAACCGTTCTAGGATTATTTTTGGCGCATGCTCATTTCCTTTAGTTTTCGATTCTGTCTGTTGTAGCGTAACTTCATAATGATATATTTTTTGTTTATTCAACTGTTCATTGCTCTTTTCACTATTTTATCAATGTTATGGAGTTAGTACATCCATTTGATAGTAGTAGTTCTTCATCTTCAGGAAGCAGTGGTGAAGGAGTTCCTTGCTGAAGTTGCTGAACATATTGTGCCTAATCTTATAATTCTCGAACTTTTGTAAGATAATCCGAAAAATGGAGGATTATGTTGGGGATACTTTGCCATTATATTCAGATACACAATTTATTGAACATTTCAGGTGGGTGTCGAAATTCATGTAGAATAGACTCAAAGGAGAGTTTGAAGCTTCAGAATATTATTCGAATAAAGATACAGCTTCCAAACTATTGTATTTTTCGCAAATTCTGAATAGAGGTTATGTTCTCAGAGGTTCGTTTCTTCCGCGTTCGGGTTTTCATAATTTGTGAACCGTTCTGAAACAGTCCTAGGATTCGAAAGGACTGCGCACTAGTTCTACGCAGTTCGAGAACGAATCTTGAACAGTTCTGAAATCGCAACCCGAATGAACCTATATAATAATCGTATACTATGGGTCAGGATAATTTTGTATGAGGATATTATTGGTCAGAGTATTATTGCCTAAGGATATTGATCCGCAGGATATTTCTATAGTGGTGCCCGCGAGAGTCTCGTTTTCGAGAGTCTCGCATGGTCTCGTCTTCGAGACAAGACTCGAGACGAGACTCGGACAAGACGAGACGAGACTTTTATTGATCTCGTCTCGAGTCTCGTGTAAGACTTCTCGTTTCTCGTGCGAGAGTCCCGCAGGTAAATATTTCTGCGTGCCGACTGCAGACTTGAGAAAGAATTCAGACTAATTGGCACAGATGGACAAAACATTTCATTCATGAAAACTTCAAAAACCCAATCCATGATTGTTGTAAAACGACGTAATACGTGAAACGAAAACGGATTATTCTCTCTCTTATTACTGCGGAATAATGTTGGATTAGAGTTTTTGTTTTGTTTATTCGTTTAGAATATACGTGTTACTTTTTATTTCATCTTTATAACTTTCGAATATATAATGCTATTTTTTTCTTGTTTAGATGTATGATGTAAGTATGTACTTACCTATTATGTACTTACTTTTCAATAAATAATGTAATTTTTGTAATTTCCTCTTTCTACTTCTACATTATACCTAAAAAGTAGGTAAAGGCAATAAAATATCCCGTACTAGACTGGAACAAGATTATGCATGACGAAATTGCGATACATTTGCGAGATTCTCGTACGAGACGCGAGACAAGACGAGACTCGAGGCTGCGAGACGAGACTCGAGACAAGACTTCATATTTCATCGGCGAGACGAGACGAGACTTTATGAAAGTCTCGTCCCGTTGATCTCGTGTGAATCACTAGATATTTCCAGCAGGATATTCTTAACAGGATATTTTCGGACTGAATATTTAGTCGTGCTCCAATTCAGGGTAGGAAACGAATATTCTTGTAGAAGCAGAATTAAATAGATTCCATATGAATATAATATTGCTAATTTATGTCTGAATATTCATTGGATTATTGAACGATATGATTCAATTCCATTCCATATAATAATATAGTGGTGTCATCCCCACGGCCAACGGTATAGTTATTTTCCTCTATGAAGTTGAACTAACACTTATTATTGTGGCGTGTTCGTAAGTGTAGTGTTTTATAAATACATACAAATTAAGGTTAGTTTATCAATGACAACTATCAATACGATCAGTTTTCCTGGGACAATAATCAATTCGGACAGTGTCGTCGGCTTTTATTGAATAAAGAAGGGGCAAGTTTTCTCTTGCAAGAGACTAACCCCACAGTCCCTATAATGAGTTATGCTTCTGAACGCCTTTGAAGGAAACATATAATATGGGTGACAACTTATACAAACATTTGATGAGAGAAATTTGAAAATATTATTTTTGGTCGACGGAAAACCGTCTGCTGCAGGGTTGTCAGTTCTACTGAATTCTCAGTAAATCTCCAGATTTGCATATTGATCTACTGATCTACAGAAACATTTCATGACCTGCTGAAAAATATTTTGACACTTATTCATTATTATAATTACCTATATTATTATCAATCTTCAGTAATTCACATACAGTCATGAATTGCATGATATCTTGGCACGCTCTGTTCAAATTAATTTTACAATATAAGTAATAAATTTACATATAGGTACTAATGATATGTATAAATCAAAAAAGGACAATACCTTATCTAATTTAGATCAAATTCAATTTTTTATATACCGTTGTTATAACTGTTTGTTTTTTATTTTGATTTTTTTATGTGTTTTGTATATTTGTTGTTAATTTTTACCATTCTTTTCTGTGTTTCATAGAATCAAATCTCATAAGTACTTATGTGACTGTATATTTTGTGATATTTGTGAGTACTTTTAAATTGAGAATTAGGAATAATTATGATTATTTTTTTATGAGA